AGTCTGGGATCAAGATTTTTACCTTCTGTTCCATCCACAATAATGTACAAAGTGATAATACCTAAAATAGAACATTTATTAGAACTGAACACATTTATTTGTGTCCAGTGAAAAGTTCCTGGATTTTAGTACGCCTGATTTCAGACAATTTACTGGTTTGCTTGCCTTTATATGAAGCTAAATCTGACAAAGTTTTGAGGCTTCCTCTTATTTGGTGTGAGAGAGCCTGACAGAGACAGAGTGTCTCAAGTTCAAGAGCTGCTAAGTCTTTAAATATCTTAGTTTCAGTTCCTATAAGGAACTGCATCATCGCAGAGGAATTTTGGCCAACCCTTCTTTACAGCATTGCTTCAGTTTGCAGACATGTTTTTATGCACATCCCTCTTAATGACTCAACACAGTTTTTCCATCAGGCTAAGGTAAATGGCCTGCATTTGTATAGCGCTTTTCTAGTCCATAGGACCCCAAAGCGCTTTACACTACATTCAGTCATTCACCCATTCACACACAGGCGATAGCAAGCTACATTGTAGCCACAGCTGCCCTGGGGCGCACTGACAGAGGCGAGGCTGCCGGACACAGGCGCCACCAGGCCCTCTGACCACCACCAGTAGGCAAACACGGGGTTAGTATCTTGCCCAAGGACATTTGGCATGCAGCCAGGATGCAGCCTGGGATCGAACCACCGACCTTCTGATTAGTGGCTGACCTGCTCTGCCACCTGAGCTACAGCCACCCCTAAGGTCTGGAAAGACTGGACTGGACCATTGCAACACTTTGATTCTTTTCTTTTTAAGCCATTCTGTTGAAGATTTGCTGATGAGCTTGGGTTCACTGTCCTTTGTATGACTCATTTTACTCTAGGCTTTAGCTGTCAGACAGAGAACTTTAAAATATTTTAGAGTCAAATGTGAGGGCCATGGCCACCTCAGTGACTGGAAGGTCACTGAGCTCCGATACACATATTATGAATATACTTCATTTTGTTTGATTATTTATTTGAATCAAGTTTAAATCACGTTGTCGTTGGTTTAGGACGCCTTAGCTGCACAGCAGCTTGTGACAATCAGAAGCCACACCTTAGCTATTAAGAGTGGCTCATGGTCAAAGTTCCCATTCATTTTACCTGAATCCCTGAATATCTCACTTCATAATCATTTATTTTCTTAATACATTAATTTCAACTTCCTGTGTCTCTTCCTCACTTTTTTATTGGGATTGTTGTCCCTACAAAAGCACCCCACTGTGACTGTGAGGGCTTGTTAGTAGTTGTTACTGATTGTACTGCTGACAGTGCAGTGACAGCAGCCCCAACAGCTAACATACCGATTCTTTTGATTTTACTATTTTTTCTTTTTGTTTTTTGTTTTCTCTTAACTTGTCAACTCTTATCCTTTCTCATTTCTTCAAAATTAAATTCTGTTCTTCAAGGTGCGTATCGCAGATACGTGAGGGCCCGGGTGCCTTAAGATATATGGCGTAGCAGCAGTTCAGCTGCCCAGTTCAGCCCTGGTGTCCTGGTTCTGTGTAGGCAAAACTGCCCATATCATCAGCCCTCGTTCAGTGTATATGACTTGTGTGCTTAATTAGTTTGAGATGCTCTCCAAATGTGGTGCTGTTCATTATTTGTATTGACCATATTTGTTCAGTCTTTTTCTAATTGCACTTAGATGAATATTAATATTTAACATGCTAACTGAGGCCTTTGGAGTCTTGTAGTTCCTGGGGGGATTTGCAGTTTCTCTGAGCCTTATGTGGTCTGACTGGGGTGAATTGTCTGGGACGTCTACCCCTATGAAGATTGGCAACTGTTTTGAATGTTTTTCACTTGTCATCTTTGTTTCATCTTTCTCATTGTATAATGATGGACTTCAAATTGTGTGAAGAAAACACTTTAGTGTTAAAGAGTCCAAATCTGGTACTTAAATACAATTGAGAGGTCATACAGAACAAATCATGTCAAACAGTGAATCTGCTCTTTACTTAAATAGTTCATTCCTACCTGAAAGGCTGAAAAAAGATTTTAATTTTGTGAGTCTTTCTCCAGACAAACTGCATTCAAAGCAGCTCAGTTAAACATGTGACATGGCTACATATTATTATATGTTCATCAAAAACCTGACAGTGCTGACAATGAAAGCAGAGACAGGTGACAGTGTTAGTGGTTATTTTGTGGTACAGACAAAAACCTAACAGAAGACAAACCTGCGGACACAATGGCTTTGATGTTTTTATTAGTGACACCCAAAGCACACAAAGTAATACAATGTCTAACAAAGTTATCAAAAATAGCACCCTTTAAGTGGGTGATCAGTAAATGCACACTCGTGGGCTTTTGGACATAGCAGAATTTTTAAACGGTTGCGTCATTTTTTGCAGGTTTTTGTGACAGACGTACATCATTACCAAATATGTTTTAATTCAAAAGCTTGAGAATTTCTACTTGAGCTTTTCAATTTCAATTGATTTCAATTTCTACTTATTTCTACCTTTATTTTATATTCCAGTGAAGAAAGTGTAACCCACAGACAGATCCAGATGCTGCAGTTTCTCTGCTGTGATGGTAAAGTAATATCACTGGAGTTGAAATCATCATGGTAACAAACGTTTCTTTATTGAGCATACAGTGGCTCAGTCAGCTCTGCTGACTGAGCTGAGATGTTTTCATACATGGAGTCAACGTTCATCTGAGGAGACGAGACAGTTCTTATAAATTTATATCAAACTGCATCAATAACTCATAGCTGGTTGTTTGTTGTTTGTTACATTGTCACTGTACTGCACTGTCACTGAGATTCTCAAATAGAACCTGTCTGACAAACTGAAACAAGTTAAGAGACCTAACCCCCCCAAAAAACAACCTCTAAAGAACTTCAGGTCTCAATTGTGTCAATTAAGGTCAGAGGTCATGATATAACAATGAGAAACAGACGGGACAAAAATGGCAATGAACTCAAAAATTATTTTTCCTGTCAGTGGTAAACATCACGACTGTTCAATGTCCAATCAATTACAAATCTAGTTGAAGATGATATTAATGTAATGTGTGGTAAGGATTGCTGATGTATATCTGACTTATTTGATACAATGATGAACATGAACATCGGGTGTAGGTAGGGACACTGAAAAGAATGCTACAGTTGGTTACTCAGAAAAAGGCAGACATATAATAAGTTTAAGCTTTTTTCCAGAATAAATGATCGTGTGAGGAAAAAAGGAAAGATGAGGGGATGTTTTTCTAACACAGCAGAATTATTTGAATCTTATTTCGTACCTGCTGCACTGATTCTGACATTTCTCCTCTTGGAGACTGACTGGAAGTCTTCTTTTTTCGGTTGCATAAAAGAAACAAATCAGTGAATGGGTAAAACATTTCACATCACACTTTAAACATAACTGGTCTTAGAGATAACACAGTAACGTTCACCTGATCCACCAGCAGACAGTGAGAAGTATTAAAACCAGCAGAGCTGCAGAAACTCCTGCAGCTGCTGGTGTCCATGTTCCTGTAGTACTTTGGACAGTGAGAGTCTTTGGAGCAGAGCTGATATCTTTGTTGGTTTTCACAGCACAGGAGTAGCTTCCTGCATCCTCCCTGCTGACTGGGTCTAGGATCAGATGTTTGTTCTGGTTCTCTCTCGGGGTCAGAGGTCGACTGTTCAAGTACCAAATGTAGTTTGTGTTGTCAGTCAGAGGACAGCTGGTGCTGCAGGTCAGTGTGACTCTCTGACCCTCTGTCACCACTGCAGAAGGACTCATCTTCACTCTCAGCTCTGAAAAACACTCAGACTAGTCAGTAAATGTAACACAAAGTAGTTCTCATTAAAGATAAAACAAGATTTGGTGCTTTTGGTTTTCACTAACTTCTGAAGAGTGCAAGAAGCAATAAAAGGCAAATATCTGTAGCCTTTTGACTAAATAAAATATTTCTTATCGCATCATCAGCTGAGGAAAATTCATGCATTTTCATCTTGTTAATTCAGCTGAAAGCATTGCAGAGGATTTTGTGTTGACTGTTATTTTTATTATTTTTATACGAAGAAAGACAAACCATAATTACCTGTGACAATCAGAGTAACTCCAGGAAAATCAAACTCTTTCACTTCTTCATTTCCTGTTGTGATGGTGAACCTGTATTCTGCTGAGTCATCTCTCTTCAGCTTCTTTATGTTGGTTCTTCAGGATGTGTTGGTTCTTCATGCTGTCATCATACTCCACATGATCTGCATCCTCAGTCAGGTTCCTCCTGACGTCCTCCTCAGCATTTCTCTTGACTTTATTTAGACTGTATCTGCTCGTAGTCAGGATATGAGTATTTACTGGAGATGTTGACTGAAGATACTTCCAGAGCACAGATTCTGCTGTGGACATAATTCAAACTCCAGCAGGAATCATCACTAACACCTGAAATATCGATGAAGTAGACAGAAAGAGTTAATAACTGTCTGGCAAAACAGCTCAACTTTATCACAGACATAAATGATTTCCCTTGATTAGGAATTTTCAATCAATTTCTGTGCAAATATTTTATCAGGACCTATAAGATATACAGTATATTACTGATTCAAAAGAGCTGTCTTTAGGGAAAAAAAAGATCAGTGAATTGATTATTACAAAACCCATCTGAATAAGCACTGACAATTGCCAAACGTAACAGAGATTCAAATCTCATACAATAATGAATCAAAACCCTGCAACGGCAGCCGAAAAATGCAAAAGAACAACATCTGTGACTGTTTCAAAAAAATCAAAACATTATCAGAAATTAAAAATGATGTTTAATGTGTCATCATTGTAGCATTAAAATTTACAGTGTTTCTGTTATTGTGGTCAGATATTCTAACAACAACACAGAATTAGAACAATACCAAGTACCAAGTGGAGAGACAATAAGTTTACTCACAGATGTCAGCAGAGCGCACATCCTCAAGACCTTTTACAGCACAAGACAAACTGTCTGGATGAGAGATGGAAAACTGAATTTGTTTTCCCTCCTGCACTGTAGGCTTTCTGGTCTCATACCACACAAAGGAAATCAGAGGCTCAGTCAGAAAACAGCTGCTGTTACAGGTCAGTCTGATGTGACCTCTGTGTTCAGCAGGAGTCCTCTGGACATGAATTTCTGTTGGGAGATGATGAACACATTTTCCACCAGTTCATCTCTGTCATGTCAAATAAATTAAGAAATAAAAATGAAGTTTCAAAGTGCAGTTTGTCCAGAACTTCACCTCTGGGATATGTGATGGAGCAGGACTCGTCCACTGATGTCTGCTGAGAAGAACACATTCTCCCTTTAGCATAGGTCACACTGAAGCAGGTCTCTGTGATGGAACCTGAGAAAAACCAACAACTTTCAGTAAATTCATTAGAGTCTGAAGAGTAAAGTGTTTGTGTTTAACATCTCATAACATGATGAGGAGGCGTCCATCATGACTCACCCACAGAGACTTCAGGGGCTCTGAGATGCTCGTAGCCTTTGACAGCACAGGAGTATGTGACCGCTTCCTCACTGCTGAGCAGCTCTTGGTACCAGGGAGACCAGTCCTCATAGAGAAACTCTCTGTTCTTGTACCAGATGTAGGCTGCAGGCTTTTCAGTCAGAGGACAGCTGCTGCTGCACATCAGTGTTACTGTCTGTCCCTCTGTGGCAGGAATCACCTTTACCTGCAGCTCTGAGAGGTCACATGACCAACATGAATACACTGATCATTCATAAAATCATTCATTTATGATGCATTTGTAAAAAGAACTGTACCTGTAACTAGGAGATGAATTCCACTTTGTTGACACTTTGATCTGTCAGCAGTTTTAATGCAGCAGTAAAAATTTCCATCTCTCTCTGTCAGATTATTGATTGTTAGAGTGAAATTACTCTCTGCTGACATGCTGTACTTTACATGTGTTTCATCTGTGGAGAGTTCAATCTTGGAGACAGTATCGTGTCCAGTGTACCAGCTATTTCTTGCAGTGGGATGTTGATGTGAGCAGGGCAGATTCACTGATGAACCTTTCAAGGCACAGATGCTGTTTTGTTTTCCCTGAACACCTTTAACACAACATGTGATTAGAAAACATGGTGAACATTTATGCTAACTTTCTTTTCTGTGCTAATCTGTGATGACAGCATGTTACACTGAAAAAAAGGGGATTGGTCATCTCTTGGATTTATGTAAGCATCTTGCGTGTATTTAACACAATTGCCTTATGCTTTAAAGTTAAGTGTAACTATATAGTGTAGAAACTACATGACATGTAGAGAGGGTAGATTAAATTGTTCATATCATGTTCGAGTGAACTAAGTCAGTAATATAGCGATGTTGAATCTTGCGACACCGCAAGGGATTTCAGTCTTGTGCGCTTTGGATCGTGGTTTCAGGAAGGCATCCATCTCAGTCAAGTCGAGCAGCCACCTCTACTCTTTTGGTATACCGAAAAAAGTAAATTGGGTGGTTGTTACATTAAAAAAGTCTAACTTGTAATTTGAACACAAAAATTTCATGTTTCTATCTTGAACGTAACTAAATCATGTAGGATCTGTACAAAATTCAACAACTTGTTCAGATGACGTGACACAATCTAGTAAGAGTGGTTAGTTGCTGGACTCATGAAATTCACAAGATTGCAAAAGATTTCAAACTGCAGGAAAATCACTGGAGTTATAAGAGGCAGATACACACACACACCACGTGTATGCTATCGCTATTTATTCTATTTATTGTGGTTTAACCTGTCAAGGACAAAAACATACGAAAAATTCTGCATCAAGCCTTGAAATCATAGCTTTCCTACTTTTGTTAAGCCTGGCTTTGTAGCATGGGGGTTAGTGCTGTTGCCTCACAGTAAAAAGGTCCTGGGTTTAAATCCCCAATCTGGCTTGCAGTGGTTTCTCTCTAGGTATTCTAGTTTCCTCCCACAGTTAAAAGTCAAAAGAGTTAGGTTAGGTTAATTGGTGAATCTAAATTACCCATGAATGTAAGTGAAAATTGTTGTTTGTCTCTATGTGATAGACTGGTGAGCTGTCCAGGGTGTACCCTGCCTCCTGTAACCTATCACTTCAGGGTTATGCCCCAGCCCCTCTGCAACCATGGATAAAGATAGGAGGAAGTTGTAGATCCATTTCATTTTTATGCTAACCAGACTCTAGACTTTGTTGAACATTATGTAATATGAAGACAGCATGTAGTATTTAAGTGACCAAGTAGTATTGGGGTAAATGTTATTGAATAGTGTTGAAATAAAATGACAACATTGCGAACGATTAAAATATTCCAAAAGCTCACCTTACTTCATCTAAACATGTTTCAATCACGTTTTATCAACACAAAATGCACAGGTTTATTGAATATGAGTAAGTTGTGTTGATTTAACTCAGTTGTTTAAGTTTCTGCCAAAGCAAAACAGTTGTGTGCAACCAATGTCCACTATTGAATTAAGTAAACCCAATGTGGCCTTTTTTTCAGTGAGAAGGATCACAATCTGGTGCTTTTATACGCTGGAGAATTCAGAACACTAGAACAAGTAAAAATCCTGTTAACTGGGAATCTCCTGTTTTCTGAAATGAACTTTTTACATCTTTTATCTACATTCCTGACACATCATTACTTACTTGTCATGAAGAGAAACAAATTATTCCTACCTGAGAGACACAGAATGAAACCCATAAACAAACATCCAGTTTCTGGCAACAACATGGCTGCTGCAGATTTTTACTTCTAATCAGAAAAAGTTGGCTATATGAATATTTTCAAGGCCTGATTACTACCACTGCTCATATCTAACTTGATAAAATATCAGAAGCATTAATCAATCAACATCCATCTAAGAGGAAATGTTAAATTCAGAGTATTTCTGCAGACAAACTGCGTTCAGCTTTAACACAATCACTTCCTCATTTATCTATCATTTCTTCAGATACAAAGAGACATAGTGTAGAACTGATGTATTGCTGCAGGTATTCAACATCACACTGGATATATATTAATGCAATTCTTATAAATGTTTTACTCTATAGAACACATTGACTTTAATTATTTAAACTAAACTAAGTCTATAAAGCTGCAAATTTTGTAGAAATGATCCTGCTCTGCTGATTGAGCCGAGTTGTTTTTATACATAAGATGAGAAATCATCTGAGTAGACAAGACAGTTTTTATAAATTTATATTAAACCTGCTATCATCATACTCCACATGATCTGCAAACTCAGTCAGCTGTTCAGCTTCCCCCACAGCATTTCTCTTGACTTTAAAAGTGGAATTCTGATTCTTTGTACCAACATTTAGACTTTATCTGATTGTAGTCAGATAAGCTTTATTCTTCTACCTTATTCTAGTTGCTCCGACCATTGCTGGTTAACTACTCCCTCAGTTTTCAGCAGATTTTCACCATTCAAATTTTCAACTGTTCTGCTCTTTCTGCTAAAATGGCCTGTATTTATATGTGTATAGCGCTTTACTAGTCCCTAAGGACCCCAAAGCGCTTTACACAACCAGTCATCCACCCATTCACACACACGTTCACACACTGGTGATGGCAAGCTACATTGTAGCCACAGCTACACCTCTTTTCAGCAGAATTTTTACTTCTTTTCAGTACAAATCTCAATCTCTTCCGCTCTTTTCAGCTCAATTTTCTGTTTCTTCTGCTCTTTCCAGCAGAATTTTGAGCTTTTTCACCTTTTATCAGTGATAATTGTTTTTGTCATTATATCTTTGGTTGGCATCAGAACTGGTTTGGCTCAGTGGGATAAGCAGCCGCCTTGAGACCCGGGGGCGAAAGTTCGAATCCCACACGTGTTCGCCCGCTTGCATGTGCTCAGCTTTCTCGATAATCTTCACTGTACCCTTTCAAATGCAAGCAGTTTAGCTTTTACAACTCTTTTCAGCAGAAAGTTCTGCTTCCTCTGTTGTTTTCAGCAGTTTCCACTACAAACTAAACACAGTTGAACAGCAGCAAAATCACTTCCTTCTTTATTTCTTATGGTTCCTGTTGTTTGACTCTTTGTTGCAGTCTTGAATTCTTACTTCACATTTTAAAGTTTAAGTTGCTGTTTAGACTCTTTGCTTTCTCTTTATCTCTGTTTTAGAAATGAGCTCTCTGTAATGTAGGGCATGTGGGTTTCAGTGTGAGTAGCTTTAGTCATCTCCCCCCACCTGTGTTTCCATCTGTTGCCTCCCCCTGTCTTGCTCTATGTTTGTGCACTGGACACTTTTGCTTCCTTGTCTCGTACATTTTGTCACGTGGTTCTCTTATTTGCTAATCATAACATGACTAGTTTTGTAAAGATTAGATTTTTAGTGAAGAGTGTCTGTCAGTATTCAGAGGACAGTGTTTCTCAGTCAGAACACATATGAAACCACAAGGACAAATTCAAACAGTAACCACATTTATTGCCGTAAATGTCATTACAATTTCTTTGGAAAGCTATGAGGGATGTAAAAGTGACTTCACGTGGTTTTGGGATATGGTGCATAAAAGAAATGTTGAGAAAATGTCACTCAGCTGTTCTCAAACACAAATTGTTGTGATCGTCATCTTTCAGTTGTGACATATGTTTCAATAGCATACATTTTATAACGGAAAAGTTCAAGAACAATTTCTGTTGTAATTTATGTTCCAGAGTATGAAAACCACTGGCAGATCCACCAAATGTGGTGTCGCTGCTGTGTTGTGGAAGCTATCAGAGAAAAGGGCCCTTTAAATCACTATGGTAACAAAGTTACTTTAGTGAGCAGGCAGTGGGTCAATATTGCAGTAGAGATCAGTTGTGTGGGTCATAGGTAGGTGCACTCTGCAATAATGAGTTGGGATGTTTTCATATATTGGATCAGGGTTCACCTGAGGAGGAAGACAAACAACATACTGTGTTATAGGTCATTTTTCTCCTCATTTAAATATTTTTACTTTATTTGCAGGTGATACTCTGACCAGCAGGTTTGTGAGGTGACAAAATATAAAGTATAAAATCTGTGAAATTCCTTTGCTATAACAATTATAAGTAAGTAAAGTAGAACAAACAAATAGATAAGTAGATTGTGTCGCTCATTAAAATGCAATAAGAAAAAAGAAATACATTGATAAAATGAATCTGAAATTAAAATGATTGAATTCAGATAAATAAAGTGTACATTTAAGCTGTGTTTATATATATTCATAACGGGGATGAACTTCACAGTAAAGTTAGGCTCTTGATGACTGCTTTCAACTGCTGTTTTTTCCAGGGTTGACTAGTTGTAGAGCATCCATTTTTAAAAATGAAAAAAATAAATAAAAAATAAAAACAATCAAACAAAAGTGTCAGAAGCCAATTCTAAACAACTGCAGACAGCAAGACCATCATTTCAAACAGCTGTATATAAGTGTAAGTATATTTTTTTCATGTGTGACCACTTTGCCTAGGCCTCGAAGAAGACCTAAACTGTCACCCTCAGATGAGAGGAAATTAGTTAGGATGTTCAGGAATAACCCAGAAACCACCAAAAA